TCTGTTGGTGGATATATATATATGTTTTTTCCCATTTGTGACTCTTTTATTTTTAAAATATTGATATGAATCTTTTTATGCAAGTCTTTTTTAGACATATGAGGTTTTGGTTTTTTTTTTTGGATGACAGTGGAAGGACTTAGGATAGATTTGTTTAATATTGTAAGAAATTATAAAACTGTTTGTCAGAGTTGCCATTCAGAGTTGGGCCATTTTATAGCAGTGAGAAGGTTGCCATTGTTCTATACCTTACCAACATTTTGTACCATCAGTCTTTGAATTTTAGCCATTCCCATGGGAATATATTGGTATCTCTTTGTGTTTGACTTTGCTTTTAAGATGGCTGTGGCTATGAATGCTGAGCACTTTTTCATTTTCTACCACCTTCCTTCCTTCCTTGACATACAAAACTTGTGCTCTTCATGGGGTACTATAAGATATTTTGATATAAGTATATATTATGTAATGTTCCGATTCAGTTTAAGGATATCTATCTCTTGAAATATTTATCATCTCTTAGTGGTGAGGCATTCAAAATGCTTTTTTTTCCATTAAAAAATATATGATGCATTATCATTATTATAGTAACCTTTCTGTGCAATAGAACACACAGCTTATTTGTCCTGTCTTAACTGTAGGCAGTATCCACTGACCAACTTTGCCCCATCCCTACCCATTGCTCTTCCCAGTCTCTGGTAACTAATGTTCTGCTCTTACCTTTCTTTTTCAAGATCACCTTTTAAAAAAAAAATATATATATATATATATGTGTGTGTGTGTGTGTGTGTGTGTATGTGTATATATATATATATATATATAGTATATATAGTAGTATATATATTCACATATATTGTATATATATAAAGTATATAGTAAAATATATATATATATATATATATGTAGAGGGGGGGGAGGGAGGGAGGGAGAGGGAGAGAGTGTGAGAGTGTCAGTTGTTGATGAACTTTATTTATTTTTGTTTGGTGCTGAGGATTGTACCTAGTGCCTCATACATGCTAAGTGAGCGCTCTACCACTGAGCCACAATCCCAGCCTAACTTTTTTTTTTTTAATTAGTAAATTGTAGGAGTTAGTTGTCTAGTTGGAATTCATGTTCTTTGTTTGACTAATTCCTTTTCCTAGTACTTTGACTGGCCAACTGGTTTTCTTTTTTAAAAATATTTTGTTTTAGTTGTAGTTGTACACAAACCTTTATTTTATTTTTATGTGGTGCTGAGGATCAAAGCCAAGGCCTCTCCTATGGTAGGCGAGGGCTTTACTGTTGAGCCACAATTCCAACCTCCCCGACTGGTTTTCTTAATGATATTTTTTATAAACATTTTTTTTATGACTTAGCCATTAAATTTTATTTTAGTTATTGTTTTCATTATCTTAAAAATTCTACTTTTGTGTTATAAAGATGTTTTCTTTAATAATATTTTCTTTTAGATGGTATCGATTTTTAGTTTCCATTTTATTTTTATCTGTGTTCCATTGCAACTAAATTTTGTGTATGGTACAAGTTTGTGTGTGATCTAAGTTCATTTTTTTTCCCCAGAGGATTTAGTATTTCAAATGAGACCAAAGAAACTGCATCTGTGGATACCATTTTTCTAAGTACCATTTCTGGATTTTTCTAAGTGCCATTTACTGAAAAGATTTTCCTTTCCCCTTGACTTGTTTTAGGGTTTTTATTGAAATTCAGTTGACCATATAATTGAGGGTTTATTTTTGGACCGGTTATTCTTTTCAGTGTTCTTTTCACTGATGTTTTATGCCAGTCTTGACTACTATGGCTTTATAGTGAGTCTTAAAGGTTGTGCCAGTCTTCCCACTTTGTTTTTTCTTTTCTTTCTCAAGATTGTTTTAGCCATTCTAGATTCTTTTTGTGCACATATAGATTTGAGAACCAACTGCTTCTTATTTTGAGAAAAAAACAAAAAAAAAACCCTGTTTGGATTTTAATTGAAATAGCAAGAAATATATACTTAAATTTGGGGAAAACTGACATTCTTAACAATATTGAGTCTTCCATTTCATCAAGATGGGATACCTCTCCATTGCTTTTTACTTTGTCTTAGTGACATTTTATAGCTTTTAGAGTAGAGGTCTTACCTACTTTTTATTGTTTATTTCCATTTTCTATCTCTTGAGGCTATTATAAATGGCTTTTTTTTGTTTTATAGTATCACTTCCTGTTATTTGTTTAGTATATAGAAATGAAAGATTTTAATATATTGACCATGTATTCCAACAAAATTTACTTGTTCACTCCTTAGTGCTGGGGATTGAACGCATGGACACTAAGCCATTGAGTCATATCCCCAGCTGTGCCTCCCCACTTTTGTGTGGTACTGGGGATTGATCCCAGGGTTTTGTGCATACGAGGGAAGCACTCTTCCAACTGAGCTATATCCCCAGCCCCCTATCCCTTTCTTAAAAATATTTTATTTTGACACCGGTCTAGCATGCGGGCACCCTACCATCAAGCTGCTTCCCAGCCCCAGTATTTCATGTGTAGACAGGCATGTTTGCCTTTTTTTTTATTGGCTTGTGTTTCTTTTTCTTGACTGGCTGGGACCCATAGTGCAAGGTACATAGAAGGGGTGAGAACATACATCTGTGCCTTCTTCCCATTCTTTGGGGAAAAGCATTTAATCTTTCATATCATACTAGATATAGGTTTTCCCTTAAAGTATCTTTATCAAGTTAAGGCATTTTCTTATCTGTACTGTATTAACTTAAAATTTTAAAAAATATTTTTAAATACCAATTACTTTAGTCATAATGAAATGAAGTTAATAATATAAACTTGGTTTTGCCCTTGAAAAGTTACTACATAAATATAATTTATGATGTATATCACTTCAGAGGGTTTATTTATCTTCTAGTACTTAGACTATGTTACTCCCAACTATATTTGATAATGTGTTTAAAAATGCATTTTCCAGCATTTTGGCATTCTTAAAATAAGTAACCATTATTGTTTTTCATAGTACTAGTCAAAGGGTCATATAGAATTGGATTTTGATAGAGGTGTAGATGACTAATATTGCTCTTAATTTGAATATATTAGGAGGTTGATTTTCTCCTTTGTAATGAATCATGTATTTTTAGCTTTTTGTTGTGAAGCTTGTATGTCATACAACAGATTACAAGGAACTTTGTTTATTCTGAGCTTCACAAAAACTGGTTACAACTCTTTCAGTTCTCTCATATATTTTACAAAGCATTTTTATATTATGCTCTATATCTTAAAGTTAAGTTAAACATTTGTTTGTTTTGCTCCCTTTCTGAGCCTAGTACTGTAGTGTGGGCTCTTAAGAGCTAATGGTAAACAAAATAGATGTTTTCTCCCCTCATGAGGCTTGAAGTCTAGCCAAGAAAACAAAACTGAATAAAATAAATAATTATAAACTATGATAAATGTGAAATATGGTCTGATACCCTCTGTGAACCCAAGGAAGGTTTCCCGGAGAAATTAGAGATCAAAAGATTGTATCTAAATCAAATGAAAGAAATGAGATAATATAGCAAGATAGAAATATCCTGAAGCAGTGGGGGTATAGCCAATATGGCCAAGCTATGTAGGATTAGGAGTGAGGGAAATGTGGTTTGCAAATGAGAAATGAGACTAGATAGTTAATGTGGAGCCCAGTTTGTATAGGACCCGTTAACACTTTGTCTAAGAACAGCATAAAAACCCTGAAACATTTTAACACAGGGAAGTGACATGATTGGTTTTGCATTTTGGAAAGAATATCCTGTCTGTTTAGTGGATAATGGATTGAAGAAAAGCCATAAACAGTGCAGAACGACCAGACTGGAAGTCACTGCAGTTGCCCAAGCACAAGATGAGGCAAGCTTGCAGAGGGGAGTGACAGTGGAGATGGAGAAAAATTAACAAGAGGGAAGGTTGGAGAAATGCAGTCTCCGTGCACATACATTTTGTGTCTTCTAGAATTCATCAGAAGACAACAGTGTTTAGTCACTATCTGTTCACCTTCTGGGATAATGCATTGCTTATATAGCTCCCTTTGGTAGTCACTGCCTACTGCTTATCCTATTTGTCATTAATAGCTAATATCCCTCTCTTGCTTTGCTCTCTGGATTCTATTGAGTAGTTGCTTGAACTGACTGGATGTTTAATATGAAATAATAATATATGTTAAATAATATATTAAACATATCTAAGGCTTAAATTTAAAAAATCAGATGCTTGTGCTGTGTCATCTACAGTTACACAGTTTTAGCTGTTGGATGTAATTATGAAGTAATCCTAAATAATGAGTCCTCTCAGATATTTCCTGATTAGCGTTCATTAGTTGAAAGGAGAGGGAGGAAGTTGATGGTGATTATAACAAGAATGGTGCTAGTAAAACATTTAATGACCCCTCAAATGAAGAGAATGGTGCCTAATGTTGAAAACAAAGGATGCTGTATGTACTGAGCTATGTGAACATATGATATTAATGCTTTTTGTCATGATTAGTTCCTATTATAACCAGATCTGAAGATAGAAAAGAAGAGGAAGGGGCCAATAGAGTCAGTTGCTAAAAACAGGAAATTACTGTGTGAGTCCTACTGAAACTCTTGTATTTACTTATCCATTTTTTAGGAAGTGGAAGGATAAAAGAATGTGTGCAATGTCAAAGTCACTGCTTCTTAGACTTTGCCTCACATTATCAGGTATCTTCGGAAGCATGTACAATTATGGATTATTTCCGGTGTTTTTATATTCACATACTTTAGTTTTTTGCCATTTCTCTAATTTTAGAAATATTACACTTTAAAACAGTTTTTAAAGTGTTTAAGTCTATACTTTTAATAATTTGTCTAAATTTTGGTAACTATAGTAATTAACATTTGATTTCTAAGTGTTTTGTTGTAAAGATTCATATTTTGACTTTTCTTTATGTGGAATGTGGAACCTAACTACATTCATGAATATTTATTTATCAAATGTAACTTCATTTTGCATATTTATTGTTGTACTAGGGAATTTTAGATCTGATTTTGTTTGATTTTAATGCAGTTGGGTATCTCTTAAAGTCAAAATGCTTCATTGTAAAATAAGACTTTCTAGCTTTTTTGTGTTAAATTTAAATATTTACTTTCAATCCTAAATATAATATTTATTCAAAGATTGCTGTTCTAACTTGTCTTTAAATATTTCTGGTAATGAGAAATGCACTTACATTCTATAGTTCACCTAAATCCATAAAGGTTTCAATAGTGGCAGTCTTCCTACAAGGCAGTTGTACCTTAGAAATATTTTTTTTTAGAGTCTGAGGAAATTTTGGACACTTCCTGACTGGTAGTCACCAGTAGACAGGGGAGGGTAGGGTAGGTAGGTCTGTATAGCTAAGAATGGCGGTTTCATCTGTTTTGTCTGTTGCCCGACTGTCCCCTGGGCTAGTGATGCTAATCTTCTCCAGCGCCCACTTTCTTCATTTGAGGGTTAGTGACTGGTTTCCTACTGTAGAGGGGTTTAAGATTCTTACAGGTAAACTCTGAACACGCACAGCACCGTGCATGGCACACAAAACATGCTTTTGCAAGTATTAAGTGTCTTCCCTTTTCATCCTCAGTTTCCTGATTTATTTTAAACCTGACATAATTTTTAAATTCTTTTTAATGTTCTAAGCCATTTTTAAGAAAGGTGCTGACCTCATGAGAAATACATCTAAAACAGATGAATGGTTGTCTGTGGTAAGTCAAAATAAATGAAAATGGTTTTAATGTCTGTCAAATATTTGAGCAGGTATTTAAATTTGCCTTCTTCTAACTTGGGTGCTGCTTAAGCACTGTATGACAAATTTGTTTAACCCCCTCACCTTTTTTTGCATGTTAGGATAATTGTGGGATAAACAGTCTATTTCTTCTAATGCTTATATTCTGAGATCATATTTGACCTTAAGTATTTCTCCAAATCGATTTTAATATAGAGTTGTTAGTTCCAGGGCTTGCTTTTTTTAATATTTATTTTTTAGTTGTAGTAGGACTTTGTTTTACTTATGTATTTTTATGTGGTGCTGAGGATTGAACCCAGGGTCTTGCAAGTGTGAGGCGAGCGCTCAACTGCTGAGCGACAACCCCAGCCCCACCAGGGCTTGCTTTGCACCTCAAACTCATCAATTTTGTGTGGCGGTGGCAGGGATTGGAGAAATTAGTAAATGGTTTTTAACTTCTTCTCCTAATGGATATACAACTATATATTTTACAGGCAAAAATTTAGTAGTCCTATCACTTGAGTTTACAAAGACTTCACTGATTTTTAATAATTAATAAGTTTTTTCTGCCAAAGAGCATTAGATTACTGCTGACTTTTTGGTGTCACAGTACCTTGTGGTAGTTTTTCTATAGGGTTTAAAGGTGTGTGCCAGTTTTTCTTCTCTCCTGTTCATAGGGAATAATTCTTACAGATAGATGACATAAAGAGAATAGCTCTAGAAGTTCATAAGTGCCATTAACACATTTCTAAGGATCGGTCAGTTCCATTGTCGTCGTCTTGTCAATCTTGATCAGAGCTTGCCGAGTAAGTCTATAAGTCGGCATGTGCCTGGCAACTGTTACCTAGTGACAGTTTCAGCTGCAGTAGCCATTGGCTGTGCTGTTGATTGGGGCAGGAGGACCGAGTCACCTTTCTGATGGTGAGTTCTGCATCAGCTCAGGATGAGGAGGAGGAGCAAGGCTCGGGCTCAGGTGGAGGCAGTGATACTGAGAGATTGTGAAGATCTGCCTACAGCACCCTGGTAACTGCATCACAGTGAATCGGACTTCTGAATCAAGCAGCCCAGCCTAGCAGCTGCAAGAGTGAGTGTAGGTGAGAAGCGTTACCTTATTCCTGTGATGAGAGAACTATTTTGTGTTAAGTAAAACTAAGAATGTACAAGAAGGAGTATCCTGTGCCTTTTACAAAGGAAGAAGGACTTCCCTGAATGATGTGGCGGTGCATGAGAAAATAACTTTCAGAAGAATGCTTTTTGTTAAGCTGCTGTATTCTTCCCGAAGGAAATGTTTTCATTTCTAGTGCATGCTATTTCTTCAAAAGCTATGACAACAAAGACTGATAGGAGACTCTCTGAAATGCCTATACTTTAGAAAAAGACTTTGGCAAATGTTAGCCTGATGCCAGAATGACCTTGGAAGCCTTTTGGATGAATTCTATCCTGCCTGCCTTTCAGTATTTCAAACTCGAGGATTTAAACTCATCTTCATGCTTTGAGGTATTTTAAAGCAAGACTATCTCACAGCCCACCTAATGGCTCCAATATTAATTGAGCACTTGCTCAAAATATAATACAGAAATAGAAGAGGCATTTTCTTAGCATATGGCTGCTACATAACTGCAAATATAATACACAAGGTAATTTTCCACTTTCAGAAGATTTAATTTAAGTAATGATTTCATTTGTTAATAATCTAATGGAAATAGAAAAGGTATAGCAAAATGTTAAGCCTACTAGAAATACTTAAGTAATAAACAATGACAGTATTTCTAGTCAAATACTCTCAGTGCACAGGAAAGTTTCTATTATTTTCTAAATTTCATATATGTGTGAGATATAGGAATGGTTGCAAAGATGAGAAAAACTTTGAGCTATATATTTTATTACCATGTGCCAGTACAAGGAAGGTGGCATATTAAAAAAATGAAAGTTATCTTTTGTTAAAGATGCTGAAATTTATGGCTAAATAACAGCATTAAGAATTACAATTTACCTGTTTCAGACCCAACTCTGTAGATTATAGGCAGAATATACTTAAACCTTATTTTTGAAAGGGAAGAGATATAAATTACATTGCTGTTATTAGCACCAGTAACTGAATTGGGCTAAGACTCTTTTCATCTTAATGCTTTAAAAATGCATGCAGAATTAAACCTTCAGAAGTTTATTATATTGCTCACAGGCATATGTCATTCTCCCTGCTGGAAATATACCTCTTTTCTCATGAGAGTTATAGGGCAATCTTAAGTCTATTACCCCCATTCTGCTCTTTGTGCCCATATAGAGATGGTACTTCTTGAAATTAATTTTGCTACAGTTATTTTTCTTGCCGTTAAAAACAATTAGAGAAATGTATCATAAAGTTTGAACCATCAGCATCAAACCTGAACTGATCCCTAGGACATTCTTTGCCACAGTGAACTTTTTCTTAGCTTTCCAACCAAATGTGGGATTTTAATTATTTAAATCTAAAATATGAATGCACTTTTCTTCACAGATGAAGCAGGAAGCATGAGACAATATAAGACTATTCCTTTTTCTTTCTTTCTAGTTGATCCCTAAGAAACTATTTCTCTTATGAGAAAAAACAGCCCACAGAAGATTTTCTTCCCTTGGCAATTGATGTTTTTTTTTTCTTCTTCGTTTTTCCTTTTTCTAGAATTAGTTTTTCATAGTACAAGGTAATAAATCCATTTTTTTTCCAGAAGTGCCTTGTGTCTGCAAAAAAGTTTCTTGGCAGCATTGGAAGAAGCTAATCAGAGACCTCTTTTTACCTTTCTCCCTTCCCCTCCTCCCTACCCCTCAAAGCTGAGGTGCATTACTGGTGAACTAAGACTGATGAAGAAACCTGAGCACTCTCTGGGACATTCAGCTCTAATTGACACACTGAGGCTTGTTCTGAGATTCATGGACAGAGTTTAACAGATGCTGGAAAGGTCATCTGCTTGCTTGAGCCAGGGCTGCATATTCCTTAATTCCAAGCCATGAATGAATCCAGGTGGACTGAATGGAGGCTCTTGAATGTGAGCAGCGGCAATGGGAATGTGTCCGAGCGTCACTCCTGCCCACTTGGATTTGGCCACTACAGTGTGGTAGATGTCTGCATCCTTGAGACAGTGGTTATTGTCTTGTTGACATTTTTAATCATTGCTGGGAATTTAACAGTCATTTTTGTCTTTCACTGTGCTCCTCTGTTACATCATTATACTACCAGCTATTTCATACAGACGATGGCATATGCTGATCTCTTCGTTGGAGTTAGCTGCTTGGTCCCTACTCTCTCACTTCTCCACTACTCCACAGGTGTCCACGAGTCACTGACTTGCCAGGTTTTTGGATATATCATCTCAGTTCTAAAAAGCGTTTCGATGGCATGTCTTGCTTGCATTAGTGTGGATCGCTATCTTGCAATAACCAAGCCTCTTTCCTACAATCAACTGGTCACCCCTTGTCGCCTGAGAATTTGCATTGTTTTGATCTGGATCTACTCCTGCCTAATTTTCTTGCCTTCCTTTTTTGGCTGGGGGAAACCTGGTTACCATGGTGACATTTTTGAATGGTGTGCCACCTCTTGGCTTACCAGTGCCTATTTTACTGGTTTTATTGTTTGTTTACTTTATGCTCCTGCAGCCTTCGTTGTCTGCTTCACTTACTTTCACATTTTCAAAATTTGCCGGCAGCACACCAAAGAGATTAATGACAGAAGGGCCCGATTTCCCAGCCATGAAGTCGATACTTCTAGAGAGACAGGACACAGCCCTGACCGTCGCTATGCTATGGTTTTGTTTAGGATAACCAGTGTATTTTACATGCTGTGGCTCCCCTATATCATTTACTTTCTTCTAGAAAGCTCCCGGGTCTTGGACAATCCAACACTGTCCTTTTTAACAACATGGCTTGCTATAAGTAATAGTTTTTGTAATTGTGTGATATATAGCCTCTCCAACAGTGTTTTCCGGCTTGGCCTCCGAAGACTTTCAGAGACAATGTGCACATCTTGTGTATGTGTGAAGAATCAGGAAGCACGAGACCCCATACCTAGGAAGCGGGCAAATTCCTGCTCCATTTGAAGAGAACTCATGGTAAACCACATGGAATCTGACAGTGGTTTTGGATTGTACTCTTGATTTACCTGGAAATTTGCCACCAGAGAAATATTTACTTGAATGGATGACTGTGAAATGAAGAATGAGATTGCAGATCCCTCCCCACTTTTTCATGGGGGAAAAGAACTAAAGGAAAGGATGTGTAGTGGGTAATTAATGAGGGAATGATAGCCTGTGAATATAAATATTCAGTAATGAGAAAACTTTAGCATTGTAGATAAAGGAAGGATCTCAAATTTTTAGGACATGGGCAAGCCCCTCAGCGTCTGTTTCTCTGACTGTTTGTCTCTCATTGTGTCTCTTTACATGTCTTTCACTTTTTGTGTTTGTGGAAGTTATTATTTGCACAAATTGCCCTTTACAGAAAAATGACACATATTATATACATGGCCAAGTATAGCATCCAACTATACTTTTAAACACATGAATCTAGAATCATAGTGGTTTTTTTATGGAGGATGCACAGTAAGTCTATTTGTTTATGCTTTCACAGTCTTCTCTGCAGCACAGATTTTTCTGCCACAAACAAAAGAAATGGTATTTTTTGTTTCTTCTGAGTAAAATGACATTTGCTCCCCCCCCAGTAGTAGCACCATATATGTTTAAAATATATATGTATGTGTAATTTTCCCTCCCTTTCCATTTTTTTTCATCTGATTTCTGTGGTACTTTACTCCAGAAGTATCTTAGTTAATGAAAGAATCTACTGTATAAAGCAATCATATGGTAAATAATTTATTCCTTCCAACAAAGCAATCTAGTAGCTTGTTTGGGAGACTGTGTTAAATATTTTCATCAGATTTTGGAAACAGTTTTTTCTGTTTTTTTTTTTTTTTTTTTTGAAGTTAGTTCATGTGCCTAATGTGCTATCTCCCCTGCTGGTGAAGCTTTGTTTTTCTTAAGAAAACCTACAAGTAAGTCTAATGCAAATTCCCGATACTCACCCTATAGTGATGTATCACTCTTAATGCTATTTGGAATGTCCTTTTTTAAAAGCATTAATTTTTTGTGTGTGTTAGGTCTACATCAGCTTACTGTTGTGCCCAGTAGTCATTTGTGTGATATGTATTTGCACATACTGTATTTTTTTATAACAAAGAAAATGTAAATTATATTATGTGATATGTGCCTAATGTTTTCTTAGCACAGTACATAGATCAATGTTGTTTAAGATGTCAACATTGAAAAAGTATATACAAAAACTTATTTTAAAAAGAAAATACTTTTGTGTAGTTGTTTAGATATTTATATTAGATGAAGCTGCATTCTTAGTGCTGCTGAGACTATAATGTACTTAATTATCAGACACAGGAAAGAGCTATAGGATTTTATTTTGTAATGATCTGTTTTCAGATGCAGAGATCAACTTATTTTTTAGTGTGCTACCTGAGATTGAGTAGTACATTTGTCGGGGGTTTAGATGCAGCAAGGTGGCTTTTGGGGAATGAGTGGTAAAACAGGTGTGAGCAGTAGAACATCTATATCTTACTTTTTTACCTTAAGTTTCCTGACTCAAAAATGTTTGAAAATTTATATTAAACTACTGAGTATTTTTCTTCTCAACATTTATGATTTCTTTGTTTTATAAAATGCATTTAATGAAATGTGCCTATGACTCCTCAACTTAGAAGCCAACCATGTTTGCATACCGGTGGTCTGACTTCAGAGGTTCTTCAGTAGAAATGCTGTCACTTTATTGAGGTTGTTCTGAACCCCTGTATATTTTTTAAACATGTAAGAAAGATTTAAAATAAATAATAAAATAGTATTCTATATATCAAAATCAGACTTTGCTTCAGTTTAATGAAACACTGAATAGGAACAGAAGTCTGCTTGTTTGGAAAGAAAATTCTGTTTTACACTTTTATAGCTGGGGTTTATATTTATTTTTGTCTTTGCCAGTGGTATCTTGGATAACTTGGAGCGCACCTTGTAAATTCAGACCTGTTCAAGGAAGATGTAAAGTTCAAGGAAACCTCATGCTGCCAACTTTTCACATATCTATAACTAAAAGTGTCAATGTTATACGTATTATTTGGGAATCAAATTTTGATTCCTTTAGAGTGTCAGTATAGTTAGAAAAGACCCAGTAGATGCTCTGCATAGAAAGTCTAAAGCTATGTGTATTTCATTTTCCTCTTCTGACTTTTTCTATTAATGATTAACAACAATTGTGTGATAGACTCAGTGTTAAGTTTTACGTATATTATAATAGTTAATTATCACTGTAGCCCTCTGAGATGGTAGTTTCATCTGTACCACTCTGCGGATGAGGAAACTATAGAAAAGGGATTCACCTTGCAAGATTAATCAGTGAGTCAGTGACAGAGGTTCCTGCACGCTCAGCTAGATGGGGCCAGGCTTTCACTATGCACTGTTGCCTTCTTTTCAGATAGTTTATACAAACCTCTGTCTGTAATTTTTACCTACAACATTTCCCTGAGTTTTATTTTCTTTTCTCACTCTAAGTCCTTTGCTTGAACTCTTTGCTTGTTAATACCTTTTTCTTTGATCTGGTAAATTTCTTTTATTAAAACAGCAATCTGATAAGCCCAGGCTCACAAGCTTAATCTGCGATTAAACTGAAACTTTGAGCCTGGAATGTCCTTGATATTACTCTTGTTAAGTTTTCCTTGAGTAGCTTTTTCAAATCTCTCTGAATTTCTTTTAGAAAAAAATCTTTGATGGAGAAGAGTAGGAAAGAAAGCCTTTATCGGCCTGAACGAGACAGAATCAGGCAAGTGCTGGTTCAGGTTCTTCATGTATTACAGGGATGCATGTAACAACTTCAGGGCAAGCCACTTACCTTCCTCTTGACATGTTTTAATGCACATTCACATAATAAAATAATACTCATTTTGAAACTACTACAATTTTAGATTAATGTGTTTTAAAAATATGAAGCATAACCATTTTTTTTTATTCTGTAGTAATTACCCAGTTTGGTTATAAATGACAGTCAAAAATAATGCTGTATTTTATCAATTCAGCTTTCTGCTGTTTGTGTAGTTTCTAAAATTATATAGTGTTAAAAGGATTTATAACCTATAGGTATATGAAATCTGAGCTGAAATCCTGTCACTTGTAGGCCGGTTGGCCTTAGGTAGGAGATCAAATGTTCCAAAACCCCAGTTTTTCATGTATAAAGCCAGAGGCTTACTCTCCCTGTTCAGCTGAATTTGAGGACTGAATGAGATTTTGTGGTCCATGTGCTCGGCATGGTGCTCTGTACACAGAAACTGTTCAGAATGTGGTAATTGCATTTTTATTATCTTTGTGGGTACATATTTATTAACATCACAACTTAAAAGATCTCTAATTCCAAGTTAAATAGAATCCATCCATTGAGGATTTAGGGTTTTCTTAGATAACATTTTTTTTCCTACCAAATTTGTGTAAATTCGGATTTGGGGTTAAACTCAGATGTTTTTAAATAAAGCAAACTTTCACAATTTTTGAAAGCGAATTTCTCAGAACTTAGTGATGGAGACTTTATTTGAAATTAGATACATAACAAGCAGATGTTAGGATGAGATAGGTATGATTCTGTGGTTTACCTACCTCCTTACTCTGTTTTTTAAATATGCTTGAACATTCTTTTTTCCATTAGGGTGCTAATAATAGAAAAGGATTGCCCAAGTATGTCTTACCATTTGTTTTGCAGTGTAATTTTCCTCATTTTTAAAAATGGAATTTGAACTATTTTCATATATAAATTACCTGGAACAAACAATGATTAATAAGTCAGTTTGCTTTACAGATACCACAAATCATATAAGTTCAAAAATAAATAAAATTATTTTCTTAAGGGGATTTTCTGTGGTCCCCCTGTGCCCTCCCCCCTTCCCAAGCTAACTAATCATTAATTGTGAAAACCATCCAACTTTATAAGCAATAAGAAAGATCAAGTTGTAGGGAATCTGCTAAGATAACATTCTAGGAGCTTGCGGCTAGTTTTTTAAATGAATGATGATGGTATCCAATCTATATGGCATTTAAATTCCACTGGATACATTTAAGAGTAATGTAAGAGTTTCAGTTTAAACATTGATATACTTCCTTTGTAACTGTAGTTTGAGTAAAGTAGATTGTTTTGTTTAAAAAAAAAAAAAAAGGTAACATTCTGAGCACAGCATTGCTTCTGTTCAGGTAGGGCTCTCCTGGTGCACAGTAACACTGGTGAGCCAATGCTTTGTAAGTTCTAGTGGGTGCTCATTTTCCGCAAACAGAGCTATGTTTTAGGATTAAGAAGAATGTATAGAAAAAGGCATATTATATGACCAGTTGTATGGAGAAAATCAGGTAGATTTTTTAGTTGTATAGATATTAAGGAAAACAAATTGACTAGAAATGAAAGAGTGTATTCCCTTTTCAGTATTTTTAATAAACAAAAGTTTTATACATTATTAGTGTTGGTCTAAAATTTAAAAGATCCGTAATAATTTTAAATAGTAAAATCGGTTGTCTTTTAAAATACTAAAAGTGATGTAATTAGGGTTTTCTTTTTTTATTACTGTTCTTTTTAAAAATTTTGTTTTTACAGTGATTATTTCTTTTTTTAAAAAATATTTATTTATTTATTTTTAATTATAGGTGGACACAGTGTCTTTATTTTTTACTTTATATGGTGCTGAGGATCGAACCCAGTGCCTCACGCATACTAGGTGAGCACTCAACCTCTGAGCCACAACCCCAGCCCGATCATTTCTTTTATAATCAAGAAAATTAATGTTTTATTAAAAGGAATACTGAACATTTAAAAATATTTTGATGTTTTATAAAATAGCTTATGTTATTATTGAAAACAACTCTATCTAACATACTGCATTTTTATGAAGATAGTTTATACAGTTTTCTGATTTCTGTAATATTTATTTCAGGTAAATTTTTCAGAGAGACTTGATGACCACCTTCTTGCAATATTAGATGTTCTTAATGCATTTGTGTCTTAACATAAACGGATTGAAGTGCTGTTTGCTGAATCTGAAATCTCATCACTGTAGGATTTTATATTGCACTAACGATGGCGTCTTTCATTTTTCATGTCTTTGTAAAGACCAGAGATTGGCCCTGCACTGGGGATATAGGGTCCAGTTGCTGCATTAAGTGCATTTCCTAAATATCAGCATTCTCCTGTAGGTCATCCATCTCTGAAGATCATGTTTGGTGAATTTCAATTTATTTATTTATTTTGTGTATATGTGTTTATGACTTTTTAGTGATAACTTTTATTTTCTTTTTACATGTGACTCCCAAAGTAAAGAAGGTCATATAAATAAATTCATCAGGAGTCTGTTATTTTGATAAATACTTAAAAGATGTATGTAATATTAGAACCTTCATTATAGTAATTAACATTTTTGAGATTCGAAAATTCTGAAATTTTTAGGTGATAAATATCAAGAAACATAGTAGTCATGGTGGAATTCATTGAATGAAAGTATTTTCTAAAATTCTTTCACTTCCAAAAGTGATAGTGATACTTAATCTGAGGGAAATCACATTTATCTAACTTTAAAATTTTGACTCTAGTTTTACTTTATGTTTTCTACTTGAGTATAAATAAGGCCGATGGCAATTAAAAATGACCAAATATATTGTATAAATTCAAGGTGGCAAAATTATTTAATTGCAAGGCACAAAAATAAAGTACAAAATTATGTAGCCTGCTCTCTAAAATTCAGAATGGATGTGTGAGTGAAACATAGTTAATGAGAGGTGATCTACAGTATACTGGTCTATGATTATACCTGACATGAAGATGAGCTCATGTACATATTATATGTAAATGCAATTTAAAAGTGTTTACTGGGGCTGGGGTTGTAGCTCAAGTGGTAGAATGCTTGCCTAACACCTGTGAGGCACTGGATTTGATCCTCAGCACCACATAAAAATAAAATAAAGATATTGTATCCACCTAAAACTAAAAAATAAATATTTTTTAAAAAGTGTTTACTTACATTCCCAATGGAGTTTGAAGTTTAAAATAGGTATTACTAGATCATATATTTTATGCTAATGGTTTCTTCACACACATTCCATTTACTTCTTCAGGAGTTTTATAATTAAAACACTAAATTGATAAGATTAATATTATTAAAAATGATAGATTTTTAAAGGATTAAAAGGTAGTTTGGTAAGGAGCAGGTAGAAATTATTCTGAAAATACTAGCTTTAATATAAGAAACTAAGTTAGATTTTTTTTTCCTTGTATTATTTTGGCAAAGAAAAATTACTTTAAAATTATGTTTTTAGAATTGTTAAAGTATCCAATTTCAAAATACAGTTTCTTTTGTGTCAGAAAGTATCTTTAATATAATTTATACCTTTGTTTTTGTGAAATGTTTCTCTTGTCATTGATTAGATTTATATAGTAATTTAAAAGTACAAATAGATACACATCAAATTTGTTTTGCTAAGAACTGTTTTGAAGAAAAACTTGATATCCCTAAAATTAATTTTATTTCACTCTCTACTTAAGTTGCACCAAAGACAGTTTTTAAAAAAGTTATGACATGTTCAAGACCTTGAAATTTTTCTGAATTTTTAGGGATGTTTATTTGGAAATCTGAAGAAGTACATTTTGAAAATCATATTTGGAATGTAATATTATTAAATATATGTTGTGATGGCTTCTATTTTTTTTAAATCATCAACTTTACCTAGCAGCTCTGTTCTGTGTTTTAAAATAGATTTAATACTTAAAATCAAACAAATTATTAAAATTTATTATTGGACTTTATCTTGATTTACTTCTATAGTTTTAGATATCTGCGTATACATCAG